CACAATTGTAAGAACAGCATTTTAAATCATAGAATTCGTTTTCCTGACTACAGGCGATTACAAGAGAATTTTCGGGCAAACATGTTCTTGAAACTATTCAGACTTCAGTAGGTATTTTAAAGCAAACATTTTTCAGTGTTGCAGCTGCGATTTTATCTTTACTAGCAAGAAAACGAGCAACTTTATTAATGAACGAATAATAGTTCGGTACAAAACGTACCTTGATAGTGATTAAAAGGCACAACTACTTAAAATTATCAAAAGAGTCTATAGTGTATATTAATCATAATAGTAGAGAATATATCAATACATCACATATGAAAAAGATCACATTTAGCGGCCTAAGGTCATTTCTGCAATATGCTCGTTTTCTTTGAGCCATGAAAGTGAACATTCAGTAACTGCAGCGGAGAGCGAAATGTAATCCCGATTAAACTGATGACGAATTTTCCCACCTTCTTGCACAATGTTCTCTTTGATCCTGTAATTACTCGAAAATTAAAAGTGATCGAAAACAATAGAATGAGTACCTGTTGATCTCCGCAATAGGCGTGTCCTTCTTGAATTTGATGTAGTAAAATTGAGCGATCTCTTCTTCTGAAGATACAGCGGTTACCCATCCAAGACATGGACGTAGAGCATTCGTCTCCGGATTCTGACCGATACCAAGAAATCCAGCAATTAGCTGCATTGATGTTTTGTTTCCATTATCATCTAGGAAGAATCCTGTTTGACTGATACTCTCCTCAAGGTCGCCGAAGTCGATTCCATAGATCACACCCTAAGAATGATGGAACGATAGTGAATACATTACAGTGTAGTGATGTAACGAAATGCATACATGCTCACGATGATGATGTTCATGACAAGCTTTAATGTAGTGGCCATTGTCATCCATTTTGTACTAGAACAGAACAGTGTTTTGTTACAAGCATATCTTGAAAGGATAAGAGTGGATATAAACACTCGAGTGAGAAGATTTTATTCAACGCTGTGTTTTTTGTCATTTGGTCTACGAGATTGTTTGCTCAGAAAATTGTTGTGCTCTGTAACAACAGTAACTAAAATCTTACGGGAACAAAAGTTGCCAGCCATCCCAATAAAAGATTGACGCCTGATCCACTGTTGTCCTGATGACAAATCTTTTGCCACCAGTCGATATCGGGTTTTCCTTCGGCGCTCTCCTTCAACTTTTCAAGATTTGGCAATAAAGCATCAAACCACCAGTGAAAGTCGGTGAAGAGCAGTTTGAGTTGTTGAACTCGATCGATTAGTTCTTGAAAATCAGTGGGCAAACCACGAAGTGTTACTTGTGGAACTACAAGAATAAAATAAATGTGCGATTTTTCACTATTTTGCGTGTCCATAGGTACACTACGGCACACAGCTATATGCACAAGTATGTATTCGTCTCTGGAAAAGACCTGAAAGACTGGCCGATGATTCATGGGCTAAGATTATTCCCTTGAATAACAATGAGAAAAATACTTTTAACATCGTCGGACTCATTTTCTATTTAATCTCACTGACCATAAGAAATACTCACTGCCGCATGTCAAACTGAATCCATATTCATAGTACGATTTGACAGTATCCATTAGAGTACAGTCAAACACAGCTCCTTCAACGTTGGTAGTGTTTGAAAATCGTTTGGTCATCAAGGTGGCGAGATCCATTTTCATGTCGTCTCTAATCAGCTGGCACATTTGGCGGACGGCTTTTGGCCAGTTGATGGCCGGAATAGATTTATTTCCACCAGCTGATCGATCTGATTCTGGAATGCGAAGACTATCGACGGGCAATATTAACGTCTTTTTTCCTTCGTGTGAAACAAGAAGATGGCGAAACTTCTCAGCATTTTCATTCAAATGAATACTGACACCTTGAGCAATAGCAACCCAAAAGTCTTCAACAGATAATTCGAGTGGATAATGATTGCAATATGCTTCAAATATCGTAGCCACAAAAGCATTTTTAACACGATGGTGAAAATCCTTAATCATCGGGTAATTTGTTTGTCCATTCTCTAGAGAAAGTATCTGCTTTTTCTTTCTATTTGACTTGTCCGACCAACGATTGAGATCTTCTGGCGAGAAAGTCAGTGATTGAGCATGTCGCGTTTCACATGGAACGATATGTTTTGTCGTGCAAAACGTGATAGTAGATGGAGCAGCAGCCATGTTTTGTTCTATATGAAACAAAGTCACAGATGGAGAAAACATTCTGCAAAATAGTCAGAACTAACAGCACTTATTTGCATGCTATTACCCCTTCAGCTAGAACATGAGTAGCAAGATCAAGTGTGTGGATATTGAGAGAAAGAAAGAGGCATCGATGTTTTGATCATCTGATAACTATTCTATGGCAAAGCATTTGAACAATTTTTTGATTGAAAATATCTGGTGGTAAAGATTTTCCTTCAGGAGTGGTCTAGAGTGAGACTTCTTTTTTATCGAACTTATTTAGTGACGCTTTTCACGTTACTGAGAACCGCGAAACTATAGCCCAAACCAGATTGTGTCAGTTGTTTCGAGTCAGAGAAACCCAACAACCACAGAGATATTATGAGGAAAACTCAGACATCTTACTCCATATCCAGACAATTAAGAGCACTAATCTGCTTTTTTCCAAAGAATGGCTTTCGTTACAGTAGGCGCATAATCCGATTCAGATTTCAGCTCTACTATTTGCAGTAATCACTAATGATGAAGTCACGTTACGTACCCAGAGTTCGGTCTTCGGTACAGATAGAATTCATTAGCAGTTTTGTTTCATTCGGAAGGTCTATTGCAATGGTACGAACATCATCGATAACTACTTTGCCGTCAGACTTGTTTACTTGGATCTCCTTCTTGTCCGGTGATCTAGTATTCGACGTTTCTTCGTCATCACGCGAGCGGTTTTCCCGCTCGCTGCACGCTGGAGAAGTCGGAAACTGTACCACTTCGTAAGCTGCGTCAGGATTGCCACGAGTACATGATGGTCTCAGCGTTTGAAGTAGTGACCTACCCAACCGACGTAGGGATCGTCGGATTCTCCAAGTAGTTGACCCCTCTAAAGTAGGCAATCTGATTCGTAGTCTTTTACCGTTGTCATCCATGTTTTTTGTTGAATCCTATATCTACTGCAATTCAAACAAAGGCAGAATGTTGAAATAACTGCACATTTTACAAAAAACCGACTGCTATTGGTTATGGCCATTCGTAGCGAGAAACGTGACACGCTTCGACCTAGCCCAACCGAGCGAGACGGACATCTCGCCATACTGGTTTCTTGATCTGATCGCAGTCTATAGCAATTGTCGCAACGACTCAGCTATCTACAAAAGCTTAGCTGTTGTTTAAAATAAAAATCTGTTAATTTAAGAAGTCGCTCATAAAACTTGCTGATCGAAACAATTCAAATAAAGCCTACAGTATTGCTCTATTAAATGGTTATCCTTCACGAATGGCGTTATTGGTCACCTTTGTTGTGTATCTGTAAACAATTTAATTTTGTTTCTCGATCAATATTATTCTCACCCTAAAATCGTCACTTAAAATATTCTAACCTGAAAACGATCAGCATGGTTAGAGAAATCAGAAATTATTCACTGAAGAATCGTGCAACGAGTCATTATTCATCTACGATTTTCATCGCACCATCTATTTGTATTGCCATTTACATAGTCGAAAGTCAGTAGAGTACGTCATCATTTTCTTTTACTACTTCTATCGTCACAACATTCTCTGTCATTGGATGCTTTTTTTGCATCAGACATCACCAAGAAAGAAATTCATACTTTCTGATTTTGCGTAGAATCGAATTCTTTTTATAATGACGTAGAAGTGTTGTTATTGTGTGCGTATGTTGTTGAAGAACAGAACAATACCCACACTCACACCGCACACCCACACTCACACCCACACCCACACCCACACTCCACACCCACACCCACACCCACACCCACACCCACACCCACACACACCCACTCAGCCTTCTTCTATTCCCAAAATTGTGGATAATGAATGTAAAGACGATTGAGATCCCGAATCCATTCTTGAATTTTACCATGCAATGACGTTGAATTCGATAATGACCCATCCATACTTATCTTACCTCGAAAACATTGTTGAAACCAAGATACTGGTTGAACAACTTCATCACCCATATGTATCATATGACCACGGCTTGGCATACATATTTGCCATGCAAATGAATTTCTTAGATCAGCAAATTTATCCATATCATTTTGAGCATGTGAAACATAATTCAATAGAATATTTTTACTACTAAATGAACCATCATTTGTATCATCCTAACTCAATGTACAAATCATTTTATCATCACTACATCGTGCACAATTTAAAACATCTAATATTTTCTGTTTTCAATGTTGTGATCGTTCAACATATGGTGTTCGAAGAAAGTTTCGTGCATCATTACTCCAACCAATATTCCATTTCAAATCAAAATTCATCGTTCTACTAAGATTAGAATAACTTTCTGTCTCTTCTGCAATACACAGAACACCCGGATAATGTGTATAAATTGTATGATTGAGTTGATGCAAAAATGAAATAACACTTTGAATATCTGTTTGATTTCATCGAATCATTTCGCTAACAGCATCGAAACGAATTCTATCAAAATGAAATCGATCAAAATAGTAAAGAGCACTAGCAAATAGAATTCGATGTGTTTCTTCTTTATCAAAATCACAATATATTGTTTCCCATCGTGATGCAATACTAGCATATAAATTTGTACCATCATATTCATGTAAAGACATAGAACATTGATGAAGAAAGTGATAGTGTTTAAAATGTGTTGGAATCCAATCAAGAATAACACAAATACCATTTTGATGTAGATGATCAGTCAAATATTTGAAATCATCACATGTAACATTAAAACGAGAAGGAGCAAAATAATTCGTTACTTGATAGTCATATTCCTATCTATCGGTATGTTCTAGTATATCATACATTTCCACATGAGTGAAACCCATTTGATTAGAATAAGGGTGGGTATAGGCGAAGAAAACATCGACGTTCGCATCCACACCAACCAAGCACAACCATCTACACATACACTGGCACCCATACCCTTAGATATGAATATTTTTCACTATTCTGACGTATGCATTGTAAAAAACTTTTTTATATTTCGTTTAAGGAGCTTCTATTTATAATAAATGATTAATTTTTAAACATTCTACCTGTGGGCATTGTTGTCGATGTTTTGCATGTGCGTAAACCGAACTACACGCACGCACATCAACACTAATACCCTAGTTTTTAGTCATCTATAGATTGGTATGATCACGTACAACATTTTTCCGATTATTAACTCCTATTTATCATTCAAATTGTATCTTTATATTCAACAAAAAGAAATTAACTACATGACGAAAAACTTCATAGACTTGATGACTTTTTTCTAGATATCTGTATAAACTTTGTTTATAAAATTGTTATCTAATTAAATTACCGAGATTTAAATGTCTCCTTTTTTCTATTTGTTGTATTTTGTTTGGACTTATTTTATGTAAACATAAAGAGTGTTCGAAAAGTTTCGAGCCCTCTCAGTAAATCGATGGTATCTACAGCAAACTTCAATAAAAGTTATTAATCAAATTACGTCACCTTCTAGAGAAAGATTGGAGCTTTCATCGGTTAAAAAAATGTTTCGAAATACATAAATTTCTACCAAAGTTATAATCATTTTACTAATCTTAAGTGAAAATTTTTGCATTACATTTTTCAAGAAAAATAAAAAAAAAAATTTTCTGGTTGACATTTTCTAAACACTTATTATTTTAATGGAAGAGTATTCGTTATATTTGTCTATTATGATTGTAGCTTGTAACACTATACATAAGGGTAAAGATTTCCATGTACAAAAGTCTTATTTTATGAAGTTTATGGTTCCGAATATTGTTTCTAATACACCAATTACCTAAAGTTATCTTTCTGACAGTCTTCCAAACTTTATCAAATAAAATTCTATTTTTCATTTTGAAGCCATATAGAACATGTTAGATAAGAAGAAGATGAAAAATGAAGGCTAATTCATCTCAATTATGCCATCTTACCAATTTATTTGAATTGTAATGTTTATGTTAGAAAAAAATTCGGAACAATAAACTTCATAAAATTAGACTTTTGTACATGGAAATCTTTACCATTATGTATAGTATTACACCCTATAATCATAATAGATAAATATGACGAATACCCTTCCATTAAAATAATAAGTGTTTAGAAAATGTCAACCAGAAAATTTTTTTTTTATTTTTCTTGAAAAATGTAATGCAAAAATTTTCACTTAAGATTAGTAAAATGATCATAACTTTGGTAGAAATTTATGTATTTCGAAACATTTTTTTATCCGATGATAGCTCCAATCTTCCTCTAGAAGGTGACATAATTTGATTAATAACTTTTATTGAAGTTTGCTGTAGATACCATCCATTTACTGAGAGGGTTCGAAACTTCTCAAACACTCTTTATGTATAGACCCATGTCATCAAAATCGCCAGAAAATCGACGATTTTATCGCGATTTATTAATCCGATAATCGTGAGATTAAATCGCGATAGATCGCCTAAACTGACGATATTTGGTGATTTTCTCTCCGATTTTCATAGAAAATCACGATTAATCAGCGATATTTTTTAATATTAATTGGTAAACTATTGAAATCCTGCACAGCCTTTCTTTCATTTTCGTATGGTTGATGAATCATTATGGGCAAATTATTGTTCACTATATCATAGTGTTGCTTTATTGAAAAAGTATGAATAATAGATGACATACATATATAAGACCAACAATATGGTAACATAAAACAATGTACATAAAAAATAGCTTTGAGTTTATACAAAAAAACTTGAGAACAAAAAAATGATTAAATGCCTATAAATAATTTTTCATCATTATCATCAAATAAAGTTCTATAATTTATGCATTGTGTTTGTAACGATTTTGCAACAATTATATTGTTTTTGACTGTCTGTAGCAACGAAGTTTTTCGATTCGATTTATCTATGAATCAAGAAAAAAATAGATATCGACCAACTAATAAAAAAAAGTGATTATATTATACCTGTGTTAGTTTTTGAACTTAAGTTTTTGTGTTGGTTTATTCGTTTGCTTAGAATCGAATCATGAATAGATGGCGAAAAGATTGATATATCTTCAGTTGAATACATAAACTAACACTTAACTGCATCTAAAACAACAAAAGCAACATATACGATCAATGAAAGATTTGCCTAAAACATTTCTTACTATATATTGTTATAATTCTTTTGACACACATTTACTGATAATATCATAAACTGAATAACAATAAATTCATTATTCAGGTAACAAATTAGATAAAGTTCATCAATTATTTGTTTGAATTCATCTGGATTCTGTAACTGATCCGAAATTTTAATAGCAGATCGATGACATTGTTGTATCAACAACTAATTTATATTTCCCCATGAATAAAAAATCACAATATTATCATGCTGTGTTTGACCACTTTTATCAAGATATGATACGGCATAACTAATACATGAAAACTACTTACCATATAAAAGAGAATAGCATGTTAAAAATTTATCTGTAAATCTGAAATATAATTTGATTTTGCTAAGGTCATGTTGTAGCATATACATTTTTTCATTCAAGATGTTTTTATAAGAACTTAATAAATCATTATGTAGTTGAATTTCGTTCACGAATACTATCTTTAGTAGCTCGAATAATGGTATCAATATTACACCAGAAATTGATTTGAGAATCTAGATATTTTATCCGTGGACTCTCTTTTTTACATGCCCAATAGCTGGTTCAAAACAAAACGATGTGGTGAATCGCAAACCGTCATGATATGAAACAGAAGACAATTAAGTAATATTCATGTGTTCAAGCATCGATATGGATAAAAAAGAAAATCAATAAAGAATGTTAAAATAGCTATTAAATCGTCACTTACTAAGAACTTGAGATGGAAGATGTAGGTGAGCATGTAATTAATATTATTTTATTTTGAGATCGTAAACCTTTGATGCAGTTCGACAATAATAATGCATTACTTCGTCAGTTAATTTTATTTCTTCAATAGTTTTTAGACAATGTAAAATCTTCACAAATGTTGTATATATTGAGAAATGAGAAATAAATAATTTTGGCAAGTAATTTATAAGAATTGCTAAGCCTAAGTTTAGAATGAATAATCTAGTGACTTTGGCTTTCCAATCATCAACGGATTTAATTGAGTACTTATATTTTACATGAACATTATGTGGAAGAAGAAGATTGGACAATACTGTATCAATCATACAAATATCCTTCATTGACAATATGTCAGTGAAACTTCTCAGCAATGTTGGCATGTGATTCAAGCAAACCAAATGCGTGTAGTCAACCATGATATCATATGAATATTGGCAAATCCTCAACAAACATGATAGTCCTTGAATGTGAACAACTGACGTTTGATGTTTATCACCTGCTCTTGATTTTATTTCAACTTCTTTTGCAATTGAAATAAATTGTTCGTGGTTTGTTGATGCGTAACTGTTATGATCATGCGGGTATATTATTTGTTTGTTATATAATGTTCCTAAGAAAAAATGATCAGCGTGGAAAAATTTTTGATTAAGCGCCTGCTTCTGCGCCTTCATAGGATTTTTACCACTCGAAATATCAAATTCAGGAAATAGTTCTTGATACCCTGTAAAGAAAGAAATCTTTTCGCCGGATAATGCATTGTAGTCTTTCTCTAATGTTTATTATAACGACTTCTGTTAGCTGTCGTTTACATAATTTTCTATTTGCTAACGAGTAATACGAATTGATACAAAGTGGTTGTTCACTTTTTAAAGACCATCTGCATATTGTGTCATCACTCATTCTTGATTTCTGGAGTTTCTACTCTATGCTATCGCTCTACATTTTCTCCAAGATCTATCTCTAAGTCACTACATCACCAAAATAACCTTTAAATGCTTTACAGAATATCTACTTGGAGTGTTTTGTTATCATTTGATTTTAAAAATTTAATTGCATCTTTTTTTTTCGAAATTTGAGAATGTAATCTACATTCAGAACACGAAGTAGAAATCACAGCAAAGCTGTCGATTGTTTTGATGTCAATATTCCTTTTTTCTGATCATAGTGGAAACTAGCATAAGTGCTCGAAAAAAAAGTATTGATGTTGGTTTGCATGTATAGCTAAGAACTTTATATTGTTTGAAACAGTTCTATCATACCTTTCTTAATGTGAAAAAACATATATAAAATTCAGGAACATAAACTTAAATTATTTTTCTTGTTATATGTTAAAGGATATTAGCTAACAAAAAAAACAATGCTTTCTTTGTTCCATTCTACATATATTTCTATCCAATCATTATAATCATTTATATTCTTTTTATTTAATAACACAAAAAGCGCGCCACTTTAGCACTTTTAGAATAAGAAAAAAAAGGATATATATGTGTTGATGATGGCATGATAACTGTTGACATTCTTTCTATTAGGGTGTGGGTGTGGGTGTGGGTGGGTGTGGGTGTGGGCTTGTCTTCTCCTCAATGAGACCCACACCCACACCCACACCCACACCCTCACTAGCTTGTGTCATTTAAAAATAATTATTAAATAGATACTGTCTATCTTAAATAAATAATTAATTGTGTATGTTAAGAATGCAAATCCTTTGTGTTGAATTCAAGTCCGTACTGTTACAATGACTTTCTCAAATAAAGTAAGGTATACTGTATAAGAGTAGAAGAACAACACTGATTTATCTGTCTTCTTATTGGTTGAACTTAATTGAGCAGTAAATATTCAGTCCGATAGTTCTCTCAAGTATTTTGCTGTGATAATTCCACGAATACTTTGATATTAATAATCAAAAAAAGTTTTCTTTTTCGAAAAAAGTCATACGCTTTATATTGAATGTGGAGGATTATTAAACTATTTTTTTGAGAAAAATCGCGCTTAATCGCCAATACTTAAAAGTTGCCAATCAATCGCGATTAATCATCGATTATTTTTTTTCTATATAAAAATCTTTGATTAATCGCGATTAATAGCCGGTTTTTTCGATATCGCGATTAATCATCAAAAGTAACGCGATTTTGACGACATGGGGAGCATATGGGTGTGCGTATTGTACTTTTCGTCAGAAAGATACACATCCACACCCTCAGTCTTTTGAAAGAATATCTTTGACGCTTCGCTTCTAAAGAAAAAAGTTTGAATCATGTTAGATTTTCATTTTATTATTTAGAAAATAATGCATAATCTGGAAGACGTCTAATGAAGAAAAGGAAAATATTGTGAAATTGAAATTTTTGTAGGATTAATTATAATCTAAATATCTGTTAACATTTGTCTTCTCTTGTTTGCGAACTTGTTCTATAATTTTCCTTACGTGTTTTTTGTTGTTTCAATGTTTTTACATCAACTATCGTCAAAATTAACAGAAAAGCTACATGATTATATATATAAATAAATGAATCAATAATTTCATGTTCATAACTAAAATGATTATTAATCGTGGATAATGACAATGTTTTGTTCTAATCAATTGAATGATATATACGAAGTATAATATTATACAGCCGGAGGGCCAGGCTGCCAAACACGATTGTTTGTTTCAAGCAATGGAGTCCAAGCTTCGAAGGTCAATTCAAACTTGTCTTCTCCACGATATCTATTTGTTTGAGTATACCATTTCCCATTGAATCGATTATGCTTTGAATCCCAAATCAATTGTATAGTCACCATATGGCCAAGGTTCTGTGTAGGATCACCTGTTCCTACTTGATATACTTTTGTTAGACCCATGCGAAGGGTTTTCATAGAGAAGACACCATGGATAATATAATTACCGATTTCATCTGTTCCTCCGCCTCTTACTTGATATGAATATCGATCGAACAAAAGTGATAATTGAGGAGGTGTATGCCATCTATTATATTGATGATATCGACTAGACCAGATACCATCCATGAAGGGATTATTTTGAAAGTTAACATTCTTTACAGAATTTTGATTGATAAATACTGCGTTGCCGACTGGTGGTCTACCACCTGTGCGTTGGCGGATCCATGTTCGAATTGCCCATATAATGGCGGCTCCAGCAAGCAATACAAGAACAATACTCAAAATAAACCTTCCTATTTCACATTCAATGGTTAAACATGGATTGACATAGGTTTTACTACCTGAATTTAACATTTATAAATGTAAATTTTAAAATAAAACGCATACTTCCGCTTCTACCACCACCGCCGCCACCACCTCCTCCTCCACCACCACCTTGGGATTGAACGGCAATGATCAGTAGAGCAAAGATGAGAATAAGATGAGTTATGATGTGCATCATGTAGTTTTGAACTAAAAATAAGTTGTCTCATTAAGCATGTTAAACACACGTAAGTAAACGAGAATTCAAAAAAAAAATGAAATAGCATTTCCATTATAATTTGAACATAGAGCACAAAATTTTCTTTATCTGAGAAAACAACCATGAAAAAAATGTTAGAAAATAGCAGGCTTCATTCTGACTACGCAAAATGCTTTGATACTTTTTGTCACTTCATCTTACAGTGGTACTATCAAGAGTGATGTTAGTAAACAAGTACTACTTACTTTCGATCTTTAGAGCATTTCAGCATGTTGTCGATCTTTATTTTTGGAGTAAGTCTAAATTTTTTGGCTCAAAAGTCTCAATCAATCGAAGAATGTGAACAATATTCAATAGTGCAAGAAACAGTTTTAAGATAAAAGATTAATCAAAATCTATTTTATCCATAGGCAATTTTCTTACAAATTACATACTCTTAATATATCATCATTTCTTACTATCGCACTTTGCTCATACTTCTGTTCTTGATTATCGAAAAAGCAACTTATCATAGACAAATGTAGAATTGATCAAGATTCACTCAGAAAAAGGATAATTAAACAGGAACATATGTGAGAATTAGTTGAAATAATACTCGAAGTTAAGATTATACAAATATTGTCACATATTGTAAACTCTGCAAAGTGAAAAAAGTTAGGTTATCGATTTTTAAATGCGATTCGTCGCTAGGTTGAGCCTATGTGAAGTAAGTTAAAATGAACTAACAATGACCCTAGTCACTTGAGCCTATTTAGAAAATTGTTGAATTTTCGAGTGACATTTTCTTTGACTTTCGTAGAATTGATGTTTCAAAATAAAATTAGTCGTAGAATGTACAAGCTTCAAATTTCAAAAATCCAAAATAGCATGCTGATATGTATATTTGATCATGCTGATGGGAGATTTGATTTTCTAGTTATATGTTTCAATATAGTCTGCATAAACGCTTGAGTTTTCTAGCGAAAGAAATGCAGCTTTTTTAGTAAACATAGTATTTTCTTATTGTCACCAAAATTTTAGACTTGTCTTGATCACCATCAATACATTTTGATCGATAGATGTAGACTGATTGCAATATGTTTCATAAACTGCAGCCCCCATACTATGTTTTTTATGCAACTGATGATCTTACTCTATTTTTTGAATTTTAAGGATTTAACGATACATCGAAACAAGTAACGCTATTTAGTCGCTACATGTAGACTGTAGTCTCCAGACGCTAAAATATAGTATTAAACCGTTGACACCCATGTAAAAAAAAATCATAAAAAATCAAATTTTAATTGATTTTTGTGATTTAAAATCGATGAAAATTGTCTCATTTTTATATTTTTAAATCCACCTACATCTGTTAACTATACTCATATGATTCTAAGCTTTTAATCTATGTGCATTACTACAACTGAATCATCCATTTTAATCTACTGCTGTCCATTATTCAATTATAATCTGCTAGAACTTTTTTATTGATTTTAATCGATTTACCTATGAAATTGCGATAATTCATGACTTTCTCGAGATTCGAACACAAAAACCATATTTTTCGACGATGTTTTCTTATTTCTCGTGCTTAGAAACTATGAAATTACCGATGCACCAATGTTCGACACTCAAAGTAAGTTTGGAAGTCCTATTTAAATTACGTTCTTCGAAATTGTGCAATTACATTTTAAAATCGATTAACCTTTTGGGAATTGTTGGCCCCTTAAGGGATCATGGTGATTCTCTAGCATTTCAAAACACACAGATTCCTATCTGGGTTTAGTTTTTGTGAAAGCATTTATCAGAGAGGTTTTTGCTATAATTTGGTTATTTTATTCAGATATGCAGTAATGAATAATAAATATAACAAAACTGACTTTCAGAGAAAAAACTCTATAATCTAGAATTATTGTCAGCAACGTTGCTCTCTATATAGAACAGACATCTGAAAGAAGAAGGAGAAGAAAGTGCCATGTCTGCTATAATACAACAACAGTTCCAAAGAAAGAGACTAAAACAATTTATGAGTGTGTCGAATGTAATGTTGGTTTATGTATTGTACCTTGTTTTGAGCTATATCACACTTTGAAAAACTTCTAAACACGCGTTTTTATCAAGTTCTTTTAGAAAATAGAGATGTTGATTGATTTATGATGAAATATACAGAAAAAAAATCCTGTCCTGAAAGGATTAAAATAGATTAGAGAAAAAATAACCGATTATAATTAATTTTTTTCTATAAAAAGAAATTAATATTCATGGAAGTTTAATCGATTTTCTCTATGAAAAGATATTGCCATTCATGTAACTGTAATAGATTTTAATTGATTAAATTTAGGTAATCGCTTTTAATCGATTACACGCATGTTAAAAACTCGGAGAAAATCTGATTATAATAGTTTATTTTTTTTTTAAATAATGATTAAAAGAGAGTGGTAATAGGGGCATAATATAAAATAATGACCGTTGAATTATCGATTATGATCCATTACTACTTATTGATCAATCGTAATTTACTGCGTTACTTTCTCATTGAACTTACTATACTCTTACCTTTGCACCTATTTTAGTCTATTGTAGTGTATCTAATTATTTTATCACAATGTTTAATTCAGACTTTCCTTAATCAGTTCGGATTTTTTACTTGATTATAACACCTAATATCTGTGCCTATTATAATGATTAATTATCTTCTAATCTATTATAAGCAATGTTTACCTTTTGATTAGTCATAATGATTCCTTACTTTTGTAATTTATTTTAATTACTGGAAAGATTCGTTTTTCTCGAGATTCGAACATAAACCTCTAATCTTGGATAGTTAGTTGAATTCATCATATTAACATACTATTAAGTTACTATTAAACAAAATTCACATAATTTAGTTAAAGTTGAAACTCTTATGTTAATTGTGTGTGACAGAAATTGCACAATTTCATTAGTAACGATTAAAATGGATTAAATTTTAAGACTCTATTCAAACTGGCGACTTTTCCACATTTTCTACTATGATAGAGACCTAGGAGGGAAACCGACGAAAACTAGATCATAATATCACACCAATAATATCTTTTCCCATGAAAATTTTTTTTGATAGAAATTCGATTAAAAATCGATTAAGATGAGACGATTTTAATCTTTTTAAATCTATTTTAACCGATTAATCCGTTTTCATCAGTTAAAAATAATTATCAAAATCGATTTGAATCCATTTAGGTTTATTAATCGATTAAAGTGAAATTAAAACCAATTAAAATCTGTGTTCAGCCTTAAAAACTCGATTAAAATCGTCTCATTTTAATCAATTTTTTAAGCAGAAATTTTTCCTTGGATTTTCGCTCCATTTCTTCAATTGTTCTTAAAGGATTCTGTGTCACTATAGTTGACATAAAATGCATCTTAACAGGTTTTGACAATCATATTAGATTATCAGTTTCAAACAAAATGAGAAGGTATTCAAGTATGTTTCAATCATTATAACAAGCTAAAAATTCCGACTAAAACTAGATCGTTTTCGAACTGATCTAAATACTTTTATTCTTCTACTTAGTTTTCACTGCTTCCAATGCAAATTTGAAAAGGATATATAAAATGAGTAGGATATTTTTAATGATTATATTCATTATGAATGAGGAATAGATTTGAACTCATTAATATACTCAATATAGTTTACAATAATTTCTTAATAAAAGATGCTAACAGATTGTTAGCCTGATGTAGTAAATAGTTCACATTAATAATCAAGTATTTCGATTGTTTGAAAAGAAAATTATACTAGATTACATTTTTAATCAATTAAAATAAATTGGATTTTCAATCTATTATTTGGATTATTTTAATAAATTCAATCAGAAATTGCGGTTTTAATCAAATTTTTGTGATTATTTTGGAAATAATCATAAATAATTTGATTTTTTTGACAGTGTTTTTTTTACATAGGCAGTTTCATTAATAGAAAATCGATTGAAATCTTTTAAATTTTTGATTGATTATTTGGATTTCGTTAAAAAAAATCGATTAAAATCGATTTACAAAAAATCAAATTTTATCCGACATTTTGCGATTTTTGTTTTACATGGGCACTCGTTAAACAGCATGACTGACAAAAAAAATGTAATAGAAATATAATGTTATCAGTAATGTGCTGAAATTGATGTGTCTAAAGTTATGCATTCAAATATTAACTCATGCGACGGTGACACTTCGTTTCATATGGTATTTCTTGAAATAATATATATATAAAAGATATATGCATACAACATGACTTACTTAAACTAGAGGAACATGCAAATAGAAAGCAAAATAATTTTTTGCGTTCTGTTCGGCGCTTCTCTGAACAACAGCTTCTTCACAAAAATCACGTGGACCATCTTTAATTAATGTAGCAGAAACAGAACGCGCAAGAATAGCGAGAATACAAAATTGCAATAACGGTTCTATCCGACGATTTTGTTCGAAAAACCAATGAGTTTCAATATTCTGTAGATGTCATGCAATTACATTGATGAGCTGCTGCTCTACCACTAATACAAATGTTAAAATCGTTGCACACACCTCATTTTTGCATTAGATTACATAAATTGTCTGAAGCTGAGAATTCCTTGATGCAATCGAAAGAGACCATGATGATAATATTAACAAAATTTCTTTTAGCTGCTACTGTATTATACTGTGATAGATGAAAAAAAAAACAATGACTTTATAAGTTCAAATTTCCATCGGGTATGTCATGCACTTTCCAAAAAAACAACCCACACTAGATATAAAAAAAATTCCTGCATTTATTCATACAATAATATGTATTTCATTGTGAAAAACCAGTGTTATTGAACGGTTGATTGTCTATTTAGATGAGCAAATGCTGTGTAGTATCTTTTAATATTATCGACTTTCATTTTTTTTAATTTTCCCATTAATGGTAATATGATAAAAATGAAAGAAACATTTTTCTACAAGTTATTGTTCAATAATTCAACATCAATAAACATCGGATTATTTTTTTCTATTGTGGAATATCAAAAATCAACTGGCGTGGATATTGATATGAGAGATTAAATGTCGTCAGCAGAACCCAACATTTCAAGGCCATTTGGGGGGGGGGGAGATTTGAACGAAAAGACGTCGTTTTGACTTAAAATACTTAATCTTTGAGCATCTTCGGTTAAGTGAACTATTGATAAATCTATCAGTGCGACGAAGAACATGAGAAAATGATTACTTTTTGACTTGATATAAATGTACATAATGCACGCATAAATTATTTTTCACAACTGATATCTTATCTACAGAGGAGCTTCATCAATAATATAATAATAAGGAAAAATTAAACTTTTTGAATAGTTTGTATTATTGAGCAGAGCTTGTAAGACAAGATCTCGATGGAGCTCAATATTTCGATAGGAAACAATATCACGAAATGCGTACTCGATAGAAGTTGGATTGGTGTGAATTTGAAGTCAAGACTGAATACTACTAAGTCATGCATGCATTGACTTGACGCCTCGTACGATGGATTTGGAAACCTTATTGAAAGACACTGAAATATGACTCAGTATTCATAGAAAATATGCTCAAGCTCAATAATAAACGAATAAAAAATTTTCATAAAATGGAACAAATTGTACTGAGTTGAAGTTGGAATCTGACTCTTTATAGATTTCCATAAAAATATTGTGAACGTAGGGCAACTTTTTTTGAGAAACTAAGGTAGATAGGAGGAGCGATTATTTAAAAGGAGCATATTTACTCAAAGCATTTAAGTATTCAGCGTTTTTTTTTTCGGAAACAAATCGTTGTTTTTAGACGAGTCTTTGATTAAATTCGATAGTGAGATGCTGAATGATTTAAGCGAGATACAGTTTATTTCACACGATGTACCTAATTTGAGTGTGAGTGTTCGCTTGCATTTCTTCAGCATTCACACACACTCTGTTCATTCTGAAGCTGACATCGATTCGTCAAAATATGTATCGAATAACTGATTGAATGCTGACTGGGAAGGCAATTTTTCGAGAATTGTAACAGAAATTGCTAAGATTATCTCTTACATTATCAATTTTTCATAGAATGATAGAGTTCAGTGTCCAGTTTCCTGTAGTGGAAGCAACAGTCGCTAGTTCCTTGTTTTCCTGAGTTACTTAACAACTACTGATACATTTCACTTTCAAAAATGACACTACCAAAACTTACATGCGTTGCAGTTTTTTCGTTCAATACACTTATTCTTTTTATCTTAAGAGCGGCATGATAGTCAGACTGAGCGTATGGATGAAAGTGAGTGTTAGGTATGGCTTTGATTGTTAATGAAAGAGGGTGGGTGTGGGTTTTGTTCGTTTTGTCAGAAAGATACGCATCCACACCCACCCTACTCTTATCATGTTAGAGCTACCGGTTTACATATCAGTTCTGACTGTGAAATGAATGTTCACAACTCTCAACATCGAATTTCACTAAATTATTTTTCGAAAATCGCGTCAATTCTTAGACTTTTGGACAAGGTTTGTATAGAACTAGTCCAACTTCTATCGAATTTATTTGTGAGCATTCTAATTATCATCACTGGCGTAAACAAAATAATTCTTTTGTTAGTTTTGGCAAAGACGAACTACCGTTTTCGTTTTGCATAATTTATTGAATAATGATTAAAAAAAACACTCGAAATAAGCGTCCACTTCATTTGCATACTTCTTCGCAAAAAGGCTACCTGTATTTATGGGACTAAATGGATGGGTGAGTGTGAATGTTAGCCTAGTTCTTCCTTTTACACACGTCCTCAAGATAAGCTTCTATGAAATCTAATCATACGATTTATCGATAGAATAAATTGTTGAATACTGTAATTTATTTAAAATCATTTACAAAAAAAAATCGATCAGACATATGAATTTCTATCAAAACCAAAGACTTGTCTCGCATTGCTTGTATATCTATTTAGATTAAAAGTTGTATACTAGCAATAAGTTATGACATATAGATAAACAAAGAATAGAAAAGCATTTGAAAATGTGAACATGCATAAAAGAAAAGATTTCCATGTTCAGATTTTGCTTTTGTATAAAGAAAAATTATGTTCAAACCGGATTATCCAGTATTAAAAACGAATTGTGTATCCATGAATATTTTCACGTTATATACTTCTCTCAATGATAAATGAAGCTTGTACTTATATCATATGTTAAGTTGTTTATTGATGGCAATTATCAAGCCATAAGCATATTCCTTTGAGCCGATCACAGCATTCACAACCAACAAAGAAGTCCCAAACTAATTTGTGAACCAAGTCTCTCTTCATATGTTTAAGATAACTAGCAATCTTATTGATTAATCTAATTCCATAATAGTCCGTTTCAAACATCACTTTTGATAGATGTTTATTCCGGTACAATATTATTTTTGCATCTTCGAAATGATTGACTCGAATATCAAGATCTCTAATATGTTGAGGTAAATTCGTAACAATAGCTTTGCGAGTTATAAACATCATTCTATCAGATACATCGCAGATTATTTGTATTGTACGAAGATTATATGCTTGTTTGGATAGAATATTCATTTCTGTTTCCAAACTTGTAGCGACGCTGCACTCATACTGGAAATTCAAACATATTTTTTCAAGATTTGATAGATTAACAATTTTTGACATGTATTCAATCAAACCGATGTGCCACTTTTTCTCAATCATCAGTGTAAGTTTTGTTACATTTTGAAATATGTGAGTTATTTTTAAATTACTCTAAAAATAAAAAAAAAATTTTTAAAAATGCTTTCTATTTCGATGTAAAAATTAGAAATTCTATGCTGATTAATATTTTTGAATTTCATTTATTAAAAAAAATATAGTGCAGGTGAGAAATTTTCGTTGATACTTGAAATGAGAATACAATTAATTTTTTCAACAATCAATCATTCATGACATTAGAAAAAAGGATGTTGTAAGTTCTTAGCACTTTTCTCAAAACGTTTCAAAATAATGATAATGATGGATTAATTAAATATTTTCACTGACAAGTAACATTCGAAAATCTCATGATATCTCATTTAATTTAAATATGGAAATGTTCAGATTTTGAAAAAAGGTGAAATATTTCAAGAATTCAAAGCTCGTTTTTTGATACTGTTCAGAACTTTGTAGTCTCCAAAATTTTCTGGATGATGTGTTATATAAGTCTTAAGAAAAACTAATCGAATCTTTCTACTAATTCAATTTCAGGAAAGTTTTTGTAAAGCCTTAAATGGCATGAAGAAAAGTTATCATACTGTTAAAAAAATAGGTACTTTCCTAAACCCTCTGAAAAGGTTTCGTAAGTGTCTAAAAGCTTCCAAATGCGTCCCAACACTCAAAAAAGCGATTCTTAAAATCTACGAAACCTTAAAAGGATCTGACCGGGGATACACATGGTCGGAACCATCTCCTACTAAACCCTTTTCAAGTTCCGTACAGCAAAAAAAGGTTTCGTAACAAAATATATTATTCTTTAGAAAAGAACTAATGGGTTGTGAAAAGATTAAATAATATCTACCTTGTTCTGGGTACTTTGAATCATTGTTTTTCCATCTAAGGTGACTTCAGACGAATGAACGATGATTGGTTGATTGTTATTAGTAATATTCAGCATAGAATTTAAGATTTGACTTTTTCGCTTAGAATAATCAAAACTATCATGAAAGATTGGTACTGAATAGAGGTGAATTCGATAAAAGTAATCAGCTACATCTCCAGGAGTTGGTCTCATATCACGATAACGTTCCAAAGAATTATGATCGTATTCGTAATCATTTTTAACAATCCAATGTTTATTTTCAAGCCAAAATGGTGTTCGAAATGGATTGATCAATGATCGCATTGTACTTATATAATCTTCATCTGACAATGCAAATCGAGAGAAATAAAACTCAAACTGTTTTAATCGAGATAATTGTGTTTCAATGAAACGTTCCCATTCATAACCGTCAAATAATGAAGAATCCGTTTGGTATATCGAGTTGGACGATGAATCATTAGTTTCATAATTACCATCAAATAGTCTCATATGTACTAGATTAGGAAAACATTTAAGAATTGCTTTCATATCATGTATCGTTATTTTAAATTCAGTGTACAATGAGAACGATGTTAAATGATCGAACTGCTTCATGTCAGACTGTGTAATAATACTTGCATTGGTTTTGTCTACACAAAACCTCTTACAATCAGTGTTCGCAGATGGGGTGTGGGTGTGGGTGTGGATGTGGGTATGGGTGTGGGGTGCGGTGTGGGTGTGGGTGTGGATGTGGATGTGGGTGTGGGTGTGGGTGTGTGGGGTGTGGGTGTGGGTGTGGATGTGGGTGTGCGTGTGAGTGTGGGTGGATGTACTTGTTTTCTTAATCTACTCCCACAGCTATACCCATACACCCAACCCCCCCCCCCCCCCCCCCCACCCCCCCCCCACCCCCCCGCCCCGCCCCCCCCCCCCCCACCCCCGCCACCCCCGCACCCCCCCC